TATATATATATATATGTTATATATAAGTAAGTAACGCTTGCTCTTGTTGTTGTTGTTGTTGCTGCTAGAAAGTTGTACTTTGATGAAGACGAATGATTATGCTAGTGTTTCATTAGGTAACTCTAAACTTAGGTTTGTCTACCCGGTACATACATACATAATATGTATATATGCTAACTAACACACATTTACTATGATTCTAGGTATGCTCCTGTTATTTTGGTGTTATCCTTCATTCCCTCTCTTTCTATATTCGGTGTGTCCAACTTGTGGGTATATGTTAAATATTTATTGCTTTCGATGCTCCCTGGCTTTCTAACATACATATACATATATATATTATCTGAAATCAAATAATAATATTTCACTTTGTTGCACTCTACATGTGGATAGCAAAAGCCTAACTTAAGTACGCTACTAAGCCTAGTCCTAGACACTAACGACAAGCGCTGACAAACACTGACTGGCTAACTGACTAGCTGACTAACGGTATAGTATTCTGATCGCTTCGCCAATCGGCTGACACCAAAGCACATAAGTTTTAAAGTACATTGTGGGTATTTACAGTTTAATAGGAGATTGTTATTAGATATATAGGCATTAATAATATGTATAATTAGTTTATTATAGTTTTCAGTTAGTTATGCATATACCTATATGTAAGTATATATATGTATATATTTATGTATATATTTGTTTATAAAAAGCTTTTACTAAAGTATTCAAACAAAATGGCTGTAAAATTTGTAGACCCTTCTCTTGTCGTCGTAGTCGCAAAGCGTGTTTTAGTTTTGTCACTGTATATGTATGTATATATTACTACATATATATGCACATACATATATATGCTTGTATATTAATGTTTAAGAATATTTAATACCGTATTCTTGTATATTAGTGTGTATATCAGACTTTGTTTCATACAAAAAACTAAGCACATCGATTTGTCAATAAATTCATGTATTCATGTATATGTGGCATGTGTGTGTATGTCTGTGTGTGTTAGTATTTGTGTGAGTGAACTGAAATGGACTTATAAGCATCTATGTTTAGAAAACCATCTAGTCGTACACGGATGTACACTTAAGCATGTATGTGAACTTGTTACTTGACAGATTCCGTATATACACTTATTCATAGGTATACATATATATTATATATAGAAAGAGAGATGCGTGTTTTAGGTGTATGTGTAAGAGGCTTAGGCAAATATATTGCTCGAAAAGTTATCCAATATTTTTACGAAATATTCTCATCTTTAATAGTAGTTAAGAGATTTGGTCACCTTAAAAGAAGCTAAAGTCTGCATAGAAGTTGCAAGGAGGTTACTTTGGGAGAAATTCGGCTATTCGAATGACTCGAATATTTCATGTATTTTCGCTTGGCTTTGCTGCAAAAATACGTGTTTCATATATGTATTTATGTGTTTTCAGCAAATCGGTACGTTTCAATATATGTATGTATGTCTGAGGAAATAATTAAATGCGCGCTCAACCTTTAGTTTAGCTGTTAAGATCTGTGGTTTCATATTTCCTATACCATATATATTATGTATACTTTCGTTTCAATTCTTCAATGGTTTTAGTTTCCGCTTGAATACTGCTCGTAAGGGTTTCTTGCCCTCGATTTCAAAATGGCTGCCAAAGGGTATATAAATGCTGCTAAGGCAAAGCTTTCTTGGCATGATGCACACATACAACACGCACACGCAGACACACACACACACACGCATATACACATATAACACACACACACAGACGAACACTTAAAGCTTGGCAGCCATTTTGTTTCTGTTTTGTGTATTATTTAAACCAGTTCTCTGTCTTTGTGGATTGCCATATAAATTGATGTGATCTTAAAAATTCGTTTAACCTTAGTTGTTCTTTAAATTGTTGTATTTAATTAATTTTTTTTATTATTATATATTTTTTTAGTATAGCTTTGAGTTATTGTTTATCGATTTATATATTCATATTTTCGCATAATTTGTATCTGTTTGTAAATTTGTAAACTGTAAACTGTAAATACTCCAAAGAACAATTTCAGCATTTGACATCGTTGATATCATAATCGCTTTCAACTCCCCTCTAGCTGCTACCGCCCCCGCTCCCGCCCCCGCCATCGCTCACGCATGCCCAGCGCACAGCACGCGCCCCTCACTTGAGATCATCGTACTCGTCGCTGCCATTCTTCGAGTCGCCCGACGACTGGAAGGCGGCCACCATTGAGGCACGCTGATGGCCCTTGTCGGAGCTGGCTGCCAGCTTGGAGTCGGCCACGTGGTGGCTGTTATGGCCATTGTTGGCCCCATTGCTGCTGGGCTTCTCGTCGAAGGCGTCGAGGAAGGGATTGGTGGCCGCGTACTGGGCGCGGTAAGTGCCCAGCGTATGATAGTTGTTGCCGCCATTGGCGAAGGGGCGTGTGCTGCTGCTGCTGCTGCCAGCTGAGCCGCCGCCCGTGTAGAAATCGTAGCTATTGGTGGAGCCAGTCATGGAGCTGACCCCACTGCTGCTGGCTGTGCCGCTGCCCGAGTGATACGAGGAGCTGGCACTGGCGCTCGCGCCAAAGAGAGTGGCGCCCGCGCTACTGCCGTTAGCAGCCCCATTCTTGGGCAGAGTTCCATAGAGATTCATGGCACTGTGATTGCTGCTGGTGCTGGCATTGCCATTGGTGCTGGCGAAGGGGCTGTTGCTAGAGTGGACACCATGGCCATGGCCATGGCCATTGCCATTGCCGGTGCCGTTGCCTATGGCGCTACTGCCGAATAATGCGCTACCAAAACTTCTGTGCTCTGAGCCGGAGGCTGTTTTACTGCTATTGCTGGTGGCTACGTTTCGGGAGTCGTTCGTGTAAGTTGAGGTGGTGCTGACTGCGCTGGCCACTGTGGTGCCGCCAATGTAAGTCTTTGTCTCCGTTTCCGAGGACGAGGACGAGGCGAGGCTGTCGAACAGCCGCCTGCCACTCGACACCAGGGAAGAGGAGGAGCTACTTACCGCCGCGCCACCCGACCGGCCATCCTTGGCCAACCGCGACGGCGACGACAATTTGCTGCTGCTGCTCGTTGGATTCGTGGTGGTGTCCGCTGCACTGGGCGACGATGTTGATGTGGTGTACTTGCTAATCGCTCCAGTGGTGGCACTGGGCTTCGCCAGGCAGCTGGTGCTGGAGCTGGGCGTGACCAGCTGGTAAGTGCCCTTCGGCAAGCCGTCCCCGCCGCCGGGCGGCGAAGGCGAGTCCGGCGACTTGATCGGTGTGAATTGGACACGCGGCTCGCGCTTCAAGTACTTGGACATCAGCTGGCTGGTGGTCATCGCCTGAGACTGGGCCAGCAGCGCATTGGTCGAGGCCGACGACTTGTACGAGACCAGGTCGTCGGAGTCATCCGAGGAGGTGGTTGGCGCCGACGTCGCCGTCGAGCCGGCACTTAGCACCGTTGCCTGAGACGAGCTGGAGCTCGACGTGGCGCTCGTCTTGTTGCGTATGACCTTGTAGTCGTCGTTGTTGCTGGCGTTGGAGCTTTTGCTGGGCGTGTAGCTGCTGCCGTAGCTGTTCTTCTTGGAGTCCAGAGTGCTGCTGCTGTACTTAGATGTGTAGGGCTCGTCGCTGGCCAAGCTCTTGGAATGCGAGTTGTGCGGTTCGTAGAAGTCGACGCCCTTGCGGTTGGTCGAGCTGGCGGCGCTGCCGCTGGCGCCGGCGCTAGCGCTAGCGCTAGCCTCTGGGGGCGTAATCTCTTCTATGGGTGCATCCTTCTGTAGTGGGGGCTTCTTCTGCACGACGGAGTACGGGCTGAGCGTATCTGCGACTTTCACTTGCTTGACCGAGGCGGGTGAAGCACCACGTTTGATGGTATCAGTGCCTAAATCAGACGAAACATTAATTGATATTATTTTTGGGCATCGTTGGCTCCACTTACTCTTGCCCGAGCCCGAGCCCGACCCCGAGCCGGAGCCCGTCGAAGCTGAGCTACTGCCTGGGGAGGGTGTGCCTGGAAGTGGCAGTGGCGATTGGTCGGGAATTGCTGAGCCCGCTGAGCCCCCCAATTGATAGGGCTGAAAGAGATCACAAGAAATGGAAGCAAACGAAATACGTGTCATGGGTTATTGCATTGGCAAGCTTCAATCCATCTAATGTTGGGAGTGGACAAACGCCAAACTGTGTATGTKTGTGTGTGTATACCTTGGGGCCTGTATCTGTGGGGTTTGAGTGCGCTGTGTGGAAATAATTTGGAATTTTCTTTTTATTTGATATTATGTTTTGTGAATAGTGCGTGTGTGGGCGTGGCAGATATACAATAGGCATACACTTTACAGAAGGAATCCGGCATAGGGCGCGGCCAATAGAAAACCAATTGAGATGTTCTGATTAATGGATTAACTTTAAGGCGAGTGGAGTGATTGGTGAGGGCATGCAAACAAAGTGCCTTGAAACAGGTGCAGTTGACAGAGCAGAACTTAGTAGTATATCAATTTATCTACTGTTTATCAAGGTAGTCCACACGCTTCCCTTCTCACTTCATGTTGAAATGTTGGGGGAGCATTTGTGGCATCGAAACAGTTCTTCATTAAATTAACCCATTTGCGTACTATGAATACTCTGTTGTGCTCATTGATAGTTTCTTGGATTTGACTACGATCATTGAAGTTATTTTTTATTATTATTATTATTATTTTTTTTTTTTTTGCGGGAAGTGGACATTAGTTATACGGGCGATGATTCATGAACTTTGTACAATGGAACGTGTGGGCGATATAGATACAAATGTTATGAATGTACACTTTGCATTGGTATTCTAGAACATAGATAAATGTGTATGTAGATTCGTAATGTTACATTTTTACCAGTAGTGGGCCAATCATGCTGAACACGCCGTTAACATTTATCACATCGCTCAAATCATCATCATTGACAGTATAATCAATATCATTATCGTTATCATTATCATTATAGTTAATAGTTTATAGTTATACATAAATATCACAATTACAACGTCGATCAAAGTTTGACGGCAAAACAATTACTTGAATTCATATTTGTTTAGTTCATAAGAAGCACAAATCAAATCAACAATAGCAAATGCATTTATATATGAATACATATATATGTATGTATATAAATATATAGATTATATAACTGATCAGCTTTGACACATATACATATATATTGTACATATCGATACGCGTTTACAAACGGTCAACAGGAAGACTTAGAAGAACAAGAAAGTAGTTTTTGAAAATATGTTATGTACGTATGGTGTGTGTATTAAGTATTATGTACGTATGCATGTATGTATGTATATGAGCAACCGAATGGTCAATATAACAGAGAAAGAGACAGAGAGAGCGAGAAAAGGAAAGCTACGGTTAGTAGCATAAATAAATTGTATATAAATTTAAATGTACTGTGAGTATATCAGCAGCGTTTGCTTAAATGAATGTGTGTAGATACTTATATATGTAAATATAGTTTAGAAATCTGCATTAACGACAAAAAAAAAAAAAACACTTTCAAATGAACTATGCTTAGCTTGCGTTGAGTGAAATTGAATACGTATTGGAGTGAGCATGTACGCTCGCATAAGACTCGACGGCAGAGCATTGAGGTGAAAACGATTGCATTGAGTGAAATTGGAAGCAGAGTGGAGAACTCTCTCGTTAGAATCGGCTGCACAACACTCAAGCGAAAGCAATGAGTGGAAAAGTGTGTGCACGAGAAGTATCGTTTCGGCTACCGAATCGTTATTTGAACTGTGTTGTTGCCTTGTCGTAATGGAAAAAATAACACAGTTCGGCTTTGACCTTCGTCTTTCGGCTTCGGCTCTTGTCTTCTATCAATGAATCAGGGATAGTCTCTTAACAGTCTTTTGGCAGTGGTCTTCGCTCATTTCTTATGACTGCCTGAGTAAATCGACTTCTCACTCAATTCACTTAAGGCTCATGATGAAGTAACAGTATGAAATGTAAAGTTGTCTGTCTGTTAAGTTAATATTTATGCAAATGAAGCACGCTCTCACTCAATTCACTGATGGCGCACGAAGCAGCAACTGAAGATAATGTAGAGTTGCCTGTCTGTTAAGTTAACATTTATGCAAATGAAGCAACGCTGACTCTGTTATCTACTTTAAGTCCTTTAACAGCGCTGAAGCCGTATGTTATGAGGCACAACTCGTCCTCTTGTATGTATTTCGCGAGCGAAGTCTTTCGTTCCGAGCTCTAATATATACATATTACATATTCATATAAACATACTTATATATACATAATGCATATCATGTGTTTTATGGTTAGTGTCAAAGATTTGTTAGTATGTGTTATTTTCAAAAGCTCTTCTTATTATGTTATGTCATGTTAAGTTTTGTTTGTTAGTTGTTCTTGTATTTGTTGTTGTTGTTTGTTAGCTGTTGTTACTGTTGTATCTGTTTGTTTACCTGTTGCACCGCTTGTTGCAAGGCTCGATGCGATTGAGCTAACTGACCCACTACTGATTGATACAGATGACTGTTGGCTGTGGCTGAGAGCTGATGATGGCCTTGGGAGAGTATGTTGGTTACCGAAGTGGACGAGCGCAGTAGGTTGCCCGCCGCCATGAGCTGCTGCTGCTGCTGCAGTAGTATTTGCTGTCTGTCCACTGGCAACGCACTGACTTTGCTTCCACGCTGCCCTGTTGACTCGCCGCGCCGACCTGTCTACATAGGACTCTGTATTAATCAATATTAATGTGAACGATCATTTTGTGGCTTTGGGACTGGGGCTGATCGTGTGTCTATGTATGGTTGTGTCAATGTCTATGTCTGTGTGTGTGGGTGTGGGTGTGTGTGTGTATGCGTGACATTTGAAATGGAATGCTATTGCAAAGACACGGAATAAGTAGAGGCAACGGGGGCTGTTGTTGTTGCTGCTGCACATTCAAAGCGGAAAGAAAACTCTTGCAAGTGTTTATCGTGCCACTAATAAAAACACGCGACTGTCAGTGTGTGTGTAAGTTGGTCCGTGTGTGTGAGTGTGCTGGTCAGAGTATTCGTGTGTTGTCAGCGGATACTGGGCACTGGACATTGGTGTGGATTGCATAATTGACACAATGATTACGTTACCTGAAGCAACACCTGCCATGTTGCTCATGCTGCTAGCTGTGGCCATGCCGCCCATGTGCTGAGCCAGCTGCTGATGCTGCGCCTGCTGGGCTTGCGGCTGCGGCCAGATCTGCAGCAGATACTTGAGCACCGCAATCGGCTGGGCGTGATCAATGTCAGCGCCAGGCTGTGCACTGGCCGAATGCAGCATCAGCGGGGGACCCATCACAGTGGCCAGCGCCTGAGCGGACATCTTATTGCGCTCCGCATTGGACACAACCAGAGACAAGTGGTCAAGCAGGAACACCAAAGTGGCCTATTGAAAGTCGAACAACATTTTCAGATTTACTCAGCAGAGACACACATTGAGATTAGACTCACCCTATTCGCCCGGGGCAAACAGTCGAGTATGCTAAGCATCAGTTTCGCATTTCCCTCAGGATCATCTGGCAGGCAGACAGCTGGAAAGGTGGAATGATTAGGGAAGGAATTTCTGGAATTCGATTTTCAGCCGGCTCACCCAATGCATCGACCGTCATCTGGAAGAGACAGCGCGTGAACAGTGGCTCGGGCAGCTCTCTGAGGTAGTCCTTGAGGACGCCGGTAATAACATTAATATCAGGAACGTGTTCCGGGCTCAATTCCACGGCTCGGCTGTTGCGCTCGAAGGCCTCGCGCAGTAAACGCTTCTTGGTCGCCGATCCGCACAGGCGGTACAGCCCGATTATATCGAGGCCTCGCCGCTCCACCTCCTCCACGCAGCGTCGCAGAACAATTGGCACTGGTGCACAGCCGGGCACGTTCTTCGACTCCCTGTTGACCACCGTCTCCAGGTCGGCGCCGAATAGCGTGGGATAGCCGGCACGCAGGCTGGGCAGACCGCGACGCTTATACAGCGCCAGGGGATCGGTGTGCCGCATGCGGATGTAGACTGTGCCACGCGGCTCCACCTTGAGCGCCAGCTGGTGCAGAGGCGACTGCCGCAACACTGCCGACAGCGATATGGCGCCGCGATAGCAGAGCTTGTGCCTGTGCTGCGGATCCCAGGAGTAGACGAGCACGTCCAGCTGCTTGTTGCCCACCAGGTCGAGCTCGAAGGACTCGTCCCAATCGAATTGCAAGTCTCCCGAGCGCACCACCGTGCGCGCCTTATGCACGCGGTCGCACTCAATCACGCAGTAGAGATCTCTGGTCTGTGGGAGCGGTGCTCCGCCGGCCCCAAGCTGTGCGCCCTGCTCTGGAGTCGAGCGCAACCCACGTCCCGCCAGCAGATGTATCCACAGCATGCCCGAGACGCCGCCAATGTCCACAATGGGCTTGTCCAACTTGTACTTGGCGAACTCCGCCGGATTGATGTCGATCTGGCGATGCGCTCGTGGCATTGTGGCGCTGGGCGTGGGCGCCGGACTCTGATGGCCGGCTGTGCTCATGATGCTGCCACTAGGACTAGCTGGGCCAGCAGATAGTTCCAGGAGCTGACGCATGCGCCGGATGCTGGGTGAGCGTATTGAACCAGCGCCACCTATGTGCTGCGAGGACATGGAGCGCACGGGCAGTGCTGATATGGGCCGGGTTAGACCCAGATTACGGTCTAGGGTGCCAGTGCCAAGTATGCCCGTTCTGCTGGAGTAAATGCTCTCGGTCTGTAAAATAAAATGTACAGCATTAACAAGAGATCGAGAGAGAGAGAGAGTGAGAGATCAGCTGCGACTCCGGGTGTTCTACTTACATTCCGCAGAGCATCGTGAATGTTCTCCGCACTGCAGGAGAAGCGATGTGAGCGCGGCTGAGCGAACATGTCCCGAGTCATGCGCATTTGCTCTGCAATCGCAGAGCTGCTGGGGGCGCGCCTCAGCCACGCACGGTACTCGTCCGCCGTAAAGATGGAGGGGCCCGGGCTGGCCGTAATGCGTTGCCGCAGGTCACGCCCACGCCGCGCATCATACTCGGGCGCCGAGATGTTGCCATCATTCTCGTCCAGAATGCGATCGCCTATGCGCGCCCGAATGCCCTGTAGCCTGGCGCCAGGTCGCTCCCTTGGCAGTGAGTTGAATTTGTTGAGATCTGGGCCACCGGCCAGCATGGCAGCTGCGGCTGCAGCGGCACCGCTGCCTCCCACGCCGCTTGAGCCACGCGGCATGCTGCCTATGGCRGGCCGGTTATAGTAGTAGTAGCTGGGCCGCGGCCCAATGGTGGCTTCGGTGTCGCTGGAGTAGTCCAGATTGGGTCGCGAGCGACGGGTGAGGGACTGTGCGCCCGCTGCTGGCGGTCCGTACTTCGGAACCCCGCCGCGTTGCTGATCGTAGCGCCCATAGCGACCCAACGTGCCGCCAACCCCCACTGGCATTGGCGCGCCCGTTCCGGGTTTTAAGCTCGAGCGCAGCAGCGAGTGGCGGCCCAGTGAGTTGGAGTAATCAGCGTACTCGACTCGCGGCAAATGCTGATCGGAGCCAGAGCGCGGAAACCGGGCGTGCTGCTGGGCCAAGCCCACGTTGCCAGTGCCCGTGGACATGCGGCGGGAAGGGCCGAGCGGCTGCCCCGGAGCGCCCGGATAAAATGCATGAACCTTTTCCGCCAGGCTCTCCAGCGTGCCCGCGTTCTGATAGTAGGCGTGCGAAGGCGCAAACGCATGCCCCTTGGTGGGCTGCTCCGTGATGACCGACGAKGGTGGCGGCGGCGGCTTGTAGCCCCAGTTTGGTGGTTCGCCCATGGCATTGACGCCGCCCCGTGTATTGTAGTACATGTCCAGCTGCTCCGACTGCGGACTGTAGTTGTTGAGGCCCAGCCCCAGCCTGGAGCGCGACTCGGTCATCTCTCGGCCGTCGCCTAGAGGCGGACAAGGGAATAAAGAGAGAGAAAGAAAGGACACCGATTAGCATTTTAAACACGGCGCTCACTTTAAACTACCTGTACGTCTTTCACGTGATGAACGCGGGCGCGGCATTCGATCGGTTTCGTCCAGGTCTTCGTCTCTGATATCACGCTTGATGACCACCACCGGTGGGGGCTTCTGCTCCGGCCTCGACAGTGTTGGTGGCCCCGGTGACCCAGCGCCACGATTGCCCCGCCTCTGCCGTATGGCCAGCACCAGGCGCCGAGGAATTGACATAATGATGACGACATCATCCAGCGACATATGAGTGACATCCACCAAATTGACGGCCAGGATTTCGTCGCCCACCTGAAAAGCATAATTCGTTTATGATAAATCTGAAAATGTAAATCCCACAAATAATGGGGCGGGGAATTCAATGGAACGTCGTGAAAAAAATCAAATCAACGTAAGCATAAAATCTCATAGTCGCAAAACCTTATCAAATAAAGTCAGTTCATGTTTCTGTAAGTCATAGTCATATGTGACTGTATGAAATAATTTTATAAATTCAACGAAAGAAAAAAGGGGAAAAATGTCTAACGATACAAATAAAGAGTCCAATATTCCATTGAAGCCTCTCAAGAATGGGGTCTTCTTGGAAGGGCCCAATGATCCAGACTTCAATGACTATGGATTCGTTTCGCCAGAAACGAATGACTTCTACCGCAAGTACATGGAAAATGCGAGTAAGGCAGTTCCATTGCCCAAGACCAGAAGGTCATCCAAATCGAAGAAGGGCCAGAGTAAGTCAGCCAAGAAAGTGAATGAAGCGGCAATTGTTGACAACAAATGTGAGGGGTCTGAGGATAAGCAGCCTAACCTCAAAATGAAGCGATCTCAAACAGCTGCGCCTATTGACTTTGAAGCGCAGCTCCAACTGGCCGAAAAAGCCCAAAACGAGCCACCCAATTCGCCTACAGGGCCGAACTCTCCCACTCGACTGCTGACAGCACGGGAAAAGCTCGAGCAGGAGGATCGTATTCAGGCGAACGTCGATATGGAATTGCAGAAGCGAATTGACCAAATTGCAGACAAATTGGATAAGACTGAGGAAAACACAACTAACGGGAAACAGGATGGGGTGGCAGCTACATCTGCACTGCTCAAGGCAGACTCTAAGGAGAGCATCTCAAAAATTGCCCCCGAACAGAAGATGAAGAGCCAACCACAGGATCGTGAAGAGGATGACGACTCGGATATGAATGACTTTACTGATGATTTGCAGCCGGATACGCCGTCCGATAAGCGGAAGTATAGCAAAAGTGACATGAATGATAGCTACATGGGCTCCGATTCTGGTCAAGAGCAGCAGGAGGACCAGGAGGATATGAGCTCGAAGGCAAAGCAAAAGAAAATGAAAATGAAAATGAATCAAAACTGAAATAGATGAAAAACTGTTAGAAAAATAAATGTTCTTCACTACGAGATAAATTATCTCAGTTGAAATTATCGATATTACTTACCCTTAAGCAGCCGCTGTTATAGACTGCCGACTCGAGGGCGATGCGGGATATGAAGACGCCGTCGGTGCGATCGGCGCCGTTGCCCTCGCGTATGTAGAGGCCGAGTGTTTGACCGGGCCGCTTCACAATCTCCACCAGCTGCACGGTATGCCGGCCATCGGCCTTGTTCATCAGCTTGTGCGCCGCATCCACAGCGTGCTTGCTGCCCATGGAGCGTGGCTCCAGGATGCGCACAATCATCTCGCCACGGCGCTCCACTGCCTCCAGTGCCGCCGCGGTGTTCGGATCATGATCGTTCTCAACAGCTTCTATCTGTCGAAAGATCTCCGAGCTGATGCCGCTGACCTTGCGAAAGTCGCCTTGGAGCAGCACCGGATCCTTGACGCCACCTGAGCCGTTTGTGGTTCCGCTCTGGCCGCGATTCTGTTGCTGGTTGCCATGGTGCTGCTGCTGCTGCTGTTGCTGCTGCTGCTGGTTGGCATGGAGGTGGTGCTGCTGCTGGTTGCCCATGCCGGACAGCTGGTTGGCGGGCAGCGGGCCGGGCGGCGCGCGGCCCGGACTGGCTGTAACATCAGGAACTGATCTTCCATTTTCCTGCAAAGGTAAACAGAACAAGTTTTCCCATTTAGTTTCCGCTCAGTTAATGTATGCTCCGAGAGCTTAATGCAAATGCGACTCTAAAGTGCAACGCGTTGTTGCATAAATTAAGCAAATTGTTGTCACCACGGCTGCGACAGCCGGCAGCTGTCGCTAGTTGCCTAGCCTCCCCACCCTCGCCCAGCACCTAATCCCCCATCTCCAAGCGACTTAAGCGTCGCTAAAAGACTTTGCTTTTGCTTTGCATTAATTAAGTCAATTTCGCAGACCTAAATGGCCCGGCTCAGCAGGCACAGCGTTGGCGGACTTCAATCAAACTCACGACTCGCGACTCGCTACTCTTATCGGTGACATTTTGGCCAAATTGCGCAAGACTTGGCCCACAAACTGTGCAATAATTATTTCGTTACAAAGTCTGACATTTTTTTTCGCCATTTCTACCGAACTGCAATTTCTGTCACTGCCACGTCACGGTGAGCTCGTGTGGGGCCGGGGACCAAGGGGCTGGTGGCCGGTGACCGACCGAATGGGGCGTTGGGGCGTCATGCAAAGGCAACTCTGTGTGGCAACTGTACCGCGCTTAACCCAACTGTAACCAGGCGGGCGGGCACGTGACGTTGATGATGTCACACGCCAGCTACAACAATGCACAACTTTGATTTTTCAGAGCAAATGCAGCAGTGAGGGGCTAAGGGGCTGCGGAACTGGGGGGCTGTGACTGAGGTCTCGGTTTGGCTATAGCAAACAAAAATTCACTTTAAATGAAGTTGCTTCTGCTGCTGCTGCTGCTGCTGCTGCCATCCACAGCACACAACGAAGTTTTTAATGGGCAAGCAACTTAGCGTTGGCTGTGGCCGGCTACCCCAAAGGCAAATCCCGACACCACACTCTCGACCAGGACCAGAGCCAGAGCCGGAGCCGGGACCAGAGCCAGCTCCAGTGCTGGCCAAGTGCACACTTGAGTCTTGTGCTGCGGTTTGCCAAAAATCATGTACGCCCACAGCAAAGCAGCAAAGAGTAAAAAAAAGAAAAGAAGAGAAGAAAAATGCTCGAAATTGCCAAAGTTTGACATATGTTGGGTTCGCTTTCCGTTCGGGTTTCTGCCTAAGCTGTGCATCTCCAGAGCTTCATCTCTCTTATTACTATTATTATTATTATTATTATTATTATAGTTGTTATTGCTGTTTGCTGTTGCTGTTGCTGTTTGCTATTGTTGCTGCTTTGCTGTTGATGTTGTGCAACTTTGTCAAAGTTTTGCAGCTGTCGCCAAAGTTTTGTGCTCAAACACCAGCTCCACTTGCCCATTCTCTTAGCCAAATAGGCATTATTATATACACACATACATATACATATTCGGCGAGCCCTTGAGCGTTTTGCACTTTGTTTATTTCTCAAGTTTTCGCTCGCTGCCATTCAACTATAAAAGTCCGTTTATAACAATTTTAGTTCATACTTTTACTCAGATTTGTTTACTATTTGTATGCCCTCTCTAATAATTGAATTTATGCAAAAGTCTAGATAGTGAAGGGACAGGGAAAGAGAGAGGGAGAGACAGAGAGAAAGGGGAGTGGCTCACAGTCGAGCATTAACATCAACTGCAGCACTCTGTGGCCCATTTCCTTCGCTTTTTATACCCTGAACCCATTGAAAATGGGAAATCAGGGTATAATGGTTTTGTGAAAAAGTATGTAACGGGCAGAAGGAGGCGTGGCAGACCCCACAAAGTATATATATTCTTGATCAGCGCGACGAGCTGAGTCGATATAGCCCTGTCCGTCTGTCCGTCCGTCCGTCCGTCCGTCCGTCCGTCCGTCCGTCCGTCCGTCCGTCCGTCCGTCCGTCCGTCCGTCCGTCCGTCCGTCCGTCCGTCCGTCCGTCCGTCCGTCCGTCCGTCCGTCCGTCCGTCCGTCCGTCCGTCCGTCCGTCCNATATATTTGTCTGTGTGTAGGCTGGCCTTATTGTTTAAAGTTAAGTATTTTACATACATATATATATATATATGTGTATATGTATGTATGTGTATATAAAAAACCAATTAGGTTGATTCCCTCAGCTCTCTTGGCATGAAATGTATGCAAAATTTTTTCGGTGCCCAGGATATATATATATATATCTCTCTCTCTTTCTCTCTCTCTCTCTCACTCTGTCACTCAATATATATATATATATTCTGCCAACCTGGATATGTGGATGTGTCAAGTTCAGTGCAATATATATATATATATACTCTCTCTCCCTCTCTCTCCCACTCTCTCTCTCTCTCTCTCTCTCTCTCTCTCTCTCTCTGTCACGTCTGTCTTTTGCATTCAATTATTCGCCGAGCCCACATCACCGAGCGGTGGCTGGCCGAGTCTGTGGCAAGACATTAATTACTTGCGGCTAATTACGAGTGGCAAAACACATAGTTTGTTAGCCGGCAAATCCAATAAGTTTAAGTCGTGGCTAACAGCCGGGCTAAGTCGTTGCCGCTGCGCAAATGGAGCGCATTGCCGTCGCTCTCGCCAGCAGCCCCATCAGCCCGTTTACACGGAGATATGCAAATTGCGGAAACGCGCCCAGCCACACATGTGAGTCAGCCTTGCTAGACTTTTAAGCACTCACTTAAACTTCATGACGTTGTCACTGTGCTTAGTCAGCAGCAGCAGCAGCAGCAGCTACTTGCAGACCCTCTCTAGTCCAGGTCTTTGTGTTGTGCTTCATGTGCGGCGACCTAATTGAAATTAGAGTATGTATGTGTGTGTGTTTGTGTTTGTGTGGGCCTATACAACTAGAAGAGCTGTTAAATATTGATGATTTCTGATTATTATTAGGCAACAAATTTTACAGCTACGTAGCAAAGGACTCAAGGCTTTTGGGTTTGCTCTGCCTATCCCTTATGAGGGGAAGTTGCGTGACTCCACAAAATCAATAAAGCCATCAAAAACTTCAAACGGAAATTGAGTCAATTTGTAATTATGCCCGCCAAGACGCCATTAGCGCTCACTGTATGTATGTAGATGTGTGTGTGTGTGTGCGTGTGTTCATATTTTTTGGACAAACTGTTAATAGCCAAAGGCATTGGCGGTCAGCATTGAAGCCTGAGCAGCGCTTTTGCGTGTGTGTCTTTACCGTTATTGACTCACCGTAATTGTGACTTGGCCTACAGAATCAACTCGGCCTTAAAGCACTTTCTGTAGCATATTTTGACTGCTTCTTAGCCATTTCACTTTGAATCTGCCAACAAATCTTGACTGACTGGCCAGATCTATTATGCCTCCCCGGCCGGCTTGATTGATTGTGAGACGCATTGATTGATTGCCCAAATCTGCGTATGTGTGTGTGTGACTTGACATGCACAGCATTTCAGTTTCTTTTGTTTTTGCAGCCTTGGGACACTGCTCTGAGGGGACAGACTGGACTGAGTAATTGCTTGGCATTTATTATATTGTTTTCATTCACATTTAATTAATACAATTTGGCCAGGCCCGAATTCCTCCGATATATGCTAACTCATGTTATTTGTCTAATGCTCCTCACGCTGATACCATCGGCCAATGTCTAATGACACGTTATTAGAAGTCAAAGCAGGGATTCGATACCCAATTGACGTTCTCGAAGCACATTACATCATTAATTACACTCACTGTTAATTAATAACTATGACTAGATGGGATAATCTGACTACATTTTTTAGCAGACTTGCTCCCCAAATGTAAATACAGCACACTGATTGAACAAGGACGAATTCAATCGATAAGAAATAGAAATTAATACAATGAATGACTAAAGTTGCTGTGGTAGTCTTCGAGTCGAGTCAAGGAGTACAAAGTCAGATTTGTTTTAAGACTTAAACAGGAATAGGGCAGTCGGGTACAACCTTACTTACTTACTTTCAATACTTTAATGTAATATAAGAACTAATATGATATAATATTACAATTTTGACCTTTAAACCTATGTAAATCATAGGTTATTTTCGATGGGTAACGCCCTCAATGAAGTGCACATTTTATTTTTGAGGTTATAGTTTTAACACTTTAGGTAAATGAGTGGTTCTGGTTTGCCACGCCCCCCGTGTGGGCGTACATATATTTATTATATTTACTATTTTATATCTCTGGTTGTCAACTCGACAAAACGGGCACTTCAAGTGTATATATCGTATATAGTATTTTCTGATATGCCACGACACATATTTTATCATATTAATAATAATTACACAGCCGAAGGCCCCTGCTGGCAGTGCTTAGTCTTTAGTTAGAGTTAATTTTATATTAATTGTGACTTGTTAATAAATAAATAAAATAATAATTAATTCCTGACAAATTTTGTAAACTGCAAACCAAACAGCATTGTCAAATGAAACACTTAGGCTTGAGCTCAAACAAATCTCCCGAGGCTGATAAGTTGACAAATGAGTTAGCTTAATGTGTAGTTAACTTGAATAGTATGAATAAAATAAGCAATCGAAATAATAATACAAATGCTCATATAACTGCATGCATTTGAGGTAAAAGACAAATTTGAGGCACAAATTCCCTCGAGTGTTTGAATTATCTGCGCAATGCACTGACGACAATTAAATGGGTAATGCAATGCCAGCTGTAGAGATCTAGATTATGCTTTGTTATTAATACTTGTCAGTGGCAGTTAGAGCATGATTTGAATATATGTATATGTATGCGTGTGTGTGCATATATGCGGGCTCCTGTGTAAGCACACGCAAAGGACAACGATAATTAAGGAGCTGGTAAGTGAAACTATTGTGTAGGCTCAAATTGCTTTAACCACAAATTAAGGCAAACAAAGCAGCTACAGCAGATGAGCCCCTCACAGTTTGGTCGAGTGTGTGTGTGTGTGCGTCTGGGTACGTCTGTCTTTGAGACTATCCAAAGATGTTCGGAACGTATACTTGATTTATTGATTGAGTTTAAAGTGCGACGCCTGGTAAGCGATAGGACAATAAACTGACTGCAATTTAAGTGAGCGAGCTGCTCTGTAATTAAGCGCAAAATCAA